CTATGGCAACCAGATGGGGTACACTCTTGAGTCCTTTGAAGTGAACAAGGAGATTGATGTCAAGAAGGATGAAGCAACCAACAACCTTGAGTCCTCTACTGGTGGCTGGGATGACTGGTACATTGGCCTTGAGTACTACCTTGGAGGTGCCCAATTCTATGGTGGCTGGTGGGGTGAGTTGTCTTCCACTGAAGGCAATGCTGACCCAGTTGCACGATTCCTTGAAGCCCACTTCTCCAGCCCTTCGCCAAAGCTATCCATGAACAGTTTGAAGCCGATGTTTGTGATTGCCTTGTCCAGAGCAACACCAAGACATTTGCCCATGCCCATGACTGCAAAATTGATTACTTTGTCCACTTCCCCGACAGTGGTCCCATTCTCAAGTCTGTTGATGTTCAGCCTGTCAAGAAGGTCAAGGCTGAGAAGCACCATGATGGGCAAGATGTTGTCAAGATGGGAACCATGGTCACCATTGATGGAACTTCCAATGCCCCCGCTGGATCTCATTCTTCTGAGAAGCATGCCCCCATTTTGAGCAAGTGCATGACTGAATCCTATGGCAACCAGATGGGGTACACTCTTGAGTCCTTTGAAGTGAACAAGGAGATTGATGTCAAGAAGGATGAAGAACCAACAACTTGAGTCCTCTACTGGTGGCTGGGATGACTGGTACATTGGCCTTGAGTACTACCTTGGAGGTGCCCAATTCTATGGTGGCTGGTTGGGTGAGTTGTCTTCCACTGAAGGCAATGCTGACCCAGTTGCCCGTTTCCTTGAAGCCCACTTTTCCAGTCCTTCAGCCAAAGCTATCCACGAAGAGTTTGAAGCCAATGTTTGCGATTGCCTTGTCCAGAGCAACACCAAGACATTTGCCCATGCCCAGACTGCAAAATTGAGTACTTTGTCCACTTCCCGACATGGTCCCATTCTCAAGTCTGTTGATGTTCAGCCTGTCAAGAAGGTCAAGGCTGAGAAGCACCTGATGGGCAAGATTTGTCAAGATGGGACCATGGTCACAATTGATGGAACTTCCAATGCCCCTTCTGGATCTCATTCTTCTGAGAAGCATGCCCCCATTTTGAGCAGTGCATGACTGAATCCTATGGCAACCAGATGGGGTACACTCTTGAGTCCTTTGAAGTGAACAAGGAGATTGATGTCAAGAAGGATGAAGAGACCAGCAACCTTGAGTCCTCTATTGGTGGCTGGGATGACTGGTACATTGGCCTTGAGTACTACCTTGGAGGTGCCCAATTCTATGGTGGCTGGTGGGGTGAGTTGTCTTCCACTAAAGGCAATGCTGACCCAGTTGCACGATTCCTTGAAGCCCACTTCTCCAGCCCTTCAGCCAAAGCTATCCATGAACAGTTTGAAGCCGATGTTTGTGATTGCCTGTCAAGCAACACCAAGACCTTTGCCCATGCCCATGACTGCAAAATTGATTACTTTGTCCACTTCCCCGACAGTGGTCCTGTCATTGTGACCACTGAGTAAGAATGTCGCTCCTGTGTCAGTTGAGCGTGGCATTGCACAAAACGAATTGAACGGTCCTGCGTTGTTGGAACGCTGGATGCGGGACTTAGTCATAGCCGTAGTTGTATCTGTGAATAAAGAATAATAGTGATAATCAAAGTTACAAGGTTATGTCTGCCACGCTATTAGCTAGCTCAAGACATGGCGGAAACAGTTGCTGAAACGCATTGGTATTCCCAGAATCCAATCCCGTCTCTGCGCGTTGTTGCCCCGGGCCCCTTGGAATGATTGGGTGCTGTACCGGCGCTTAACGCACCGTACGCTACATGAAGCTCACAAGCAAACAGCTTTGGAGGGAATGATTCAATCTTGCTTGAAGCTCAGCACTATGTAGGCAGAGATAGTGCATGTATTGATCTCTATCCTGCGTACTACCTATAGAGTCTTCATGCTCGTGCCCCGACCATGTCTCGGATGAATCGTCGTGGCGGGTGTTTGTCCTTTCTTGGGCTGCACCGTTTCCGACTTGATTTTAAATTTATTTTGTTGGAGGTCCGAGGGAATGAGTGAAGATTCAGTCTCGAAGCTCTGCACTAGCTAGAGGTACCGGTCAGTATCTCTATCCTAGGATCCTGCGTACCGGTCCTAGCTATGGGAGTCTTCATGTTCGTGTCCCAATGGATCTATCTTTTGAGATAACAGTGACATCAACATGTTTCGTGGATGCGTCTTGTTGGCGGGGTGTTTGTCCGTTCGTGGGCTTCAGATTTCCATTGGTTCGGTGTTCTTTCAGCTCTGCTGTCCCGAAGGCGCAATTGGAGGGCAAAACCAATGACGCTCCAACATTCTCTCAAAGTACTAGTAGCAGCACAATGCAAAAGTCAACAGCACTATCAAAAGCAGCCCTCTCCTGACCACTAGCCAGCTAGCTATCGACAATAGAGCAATCCAATGTTTGTGAAGAAGGACCACCGAAAGATTCCTCGGATCCTAGCGGACGGGCAAAAGGCGATTGATGAGAAGAACGAGGATGACTATCTGCGAGACTTGCGGTTGGCTCGACGTCAAAATGAGTTGAATGGCGATGTCCGCGATTCAGTCATGCACTTGCTCAGAATGGGGGCATGCTTCTCAGAAGAATGGGATCCAGCAGGGGCATTGGAAGTTCCATCAATGGTGACCATGGTTCCCATCTTGACAACATCTTGCCCATCATGGTGCTTCTCAGCCTTGACCTTCTTGACAGGCTGAACATCAACAGACTTGAGAATGGGACCATTGTCAGGGAAATGAACAAAGTACTCAATCTTGCAGTCGTGGGCATGGGCAAAGGTCTTGGTGTTGCTCTGGACAAGGCAATCGCAAACATTGGCTTCAAACTCTTCGTGAATAGCTTTGGCTGAAGGGCTGGAGAAGTGGGCTTCAAGGAATCGGGCAACTGGGTCAGCATTGCCTTTAGTGGAAGACAACTCACCCCACCAGCCACCATAGAATTGGGCACCTCCAAGGTAGTACTCAAGGCCAATGTACCAGTCATCCCAGCCACCAGTAGAGGACTCAAGGTTGTTGGTTGCTTCATCCTTCTTGACATCAATCTCCTTGTTCACTTCAAAGGACTCAAGAGTGTACCCCATCTGGTTGCCATAGGATTCAGTCATGCACTTGCTCAGAATGGGGGCATGCTTCTCAGAAGAATGAGATCCAGCAGGGGCATTGGAAGTTCCATCAATGGTGACCATGGTTCCCATCTTGACAACATCTTGCCCATCATGGTGCTTCTCAGCCTTAACGTTCTTGACAGGCTGAACATCAACAGACTTGGCAATGGGACCATTGTCAGGGAAGTGGACAAAGTACTCAATCTTGCAGTCATGGGCATGGGCAAAGGTCTTGGTGTTGCTCTGGACAAGGCAATCACAAACATTGGCTTCAAACTCTTCATGGATAGCTTTGGCGGAAGGGCTGGACAAGTGGGCTTCAAGGAAACGGGCAACTGGGTCAGCATTGCCTTCAGTGGAAGACAATTCACCCCACCAGCCACCATAGAATTGGGCACCTCCAAGGTAGTATTCAAGGCCAATGTACCAGTCATCCCAGCCACCAGTAGAGGACTCAAGGTTGTTGGTTTCTTCATCCTTCTTGACATCAATCTCCTTGTTCACTTCAAAGGACTCAAGAGTGTACCCCATCTGGTTGCCATAGGATTCAGTCATGCACTTGCTCAGAATGGGGGCATGCTTCTCAGAAGAATGAGATCCAGCAGGGGCATTGGAAGTTCCATCAATGGTGACCATGGTTCCCATCTTGACAACATCGTGCTCATCATGGTGCTTCACAGCCTTGACCTTCTTGGCAGGCTGAACATCAGCAGACTTGGCAATGGGACCATTGTCAGGGAAGTGGACAAAGTACTCAATCTTGCAGTCATGGGCATGGGCAAATGTCTTGGTGTTGCTCTGGACAAGGCAATCACAAACACCGGCTTCAAACTGTTCGTGGATAGCTTTGGCTGAAGGGCTGGAGAAGTGGGCTTCAAGGAATCGGGCAACTGGGTCAGCATTGCCTTCAGTGGAAGACAACTCACCCCACCAGCCACCATAGAATTGAGCACCTCCAAGGTAGTACTCAAGGCCAATGTACCAGTCATCCCAGCCACCAGTAGAGGACTCAAGGTTGTTGGTTGCTTCATCCTTCTTGACATCAATCTCCTTGTTCACTTCAAAGGACTCAAGAGTGTACCCCATCTGGTTGCCATAGGATTCAGTCATGCACTTGCTCAAAATGGGGGCGTGCTTCTCAGAAGAATGAGATCCAGCAGGTGCGTTGTTAGTCCCATCAATGGTAACCATGGTTCCCATCTTGACAACATCTTGCCCATCATGGTGCTTCACAGCCTTGACCTTCTTGACAGGCTGAACATCAACAGACTTGAGAATGGGACCATGTCGGGAAGTGGACAAAGTATCAATTTTGCAGTCATGGGCATGGGCAAAGTCTTGGTGTTGCTCTGGACAAGGCAATCGCAAACATTGGCTTCAAACTCTTCGTGGATAGCTTTGGCTGAAGGGCTGGAGAAGTGGGCTTCAAGGAAACGGGCAACTGGGTCAGCATTGCCTTCAGTGGAAGACAACTCACCCCACCAGCCACCATAGAATTGAGCACCTCCAAGGTAGTATTCAAGGCCAATGTACCAGTCATCCCAGCCACCAGTAGAGGACTCAAGGTTGTTGGTTGCTTCATCCTTCTTGACATCAATCTCCTTGTTCACTTCAAAGGACTCAAGAGTGTACCCCATCTGGTTGCCATAGGATTCAGTCATGCACATGCTCAAAATGGGGGCGTGCTTCTCAGAAGAATGAGATCCAGCAGGTGCGTTGTTAGTCCCATCAATGGTAACCATGGTTCCCATCTTGACAACATCTTGCCCATCATGGTGCTTCACAGCCTTGACCTTCTTGACAGGCTGAACATCAGCAGACTTGGCAATGGGACCATTGTCAGGGAAGTGGACAAAGTACTCAATCTTGCAGTCATGGGCATGGGCAAAGGTCTTGGTGTTGCTCTGGACAAGGCAATCGCAAACATTGGCTTCAAACTCTTCGTGGATAGCTTTGGCTGAAGGACTGGACAAGTGGGCTTCAAGGAAACGGGCAACTGGGTCAGCATTGCCTTCAGTGGAAGACAACTCACCCCACCAGCCACCATAGAATTGGGCACCTCCAAGGTAGTACTCAAGGCCAATGTACCAGTCATCCCAGCCGCCAGTAGAGGACTCAAGGTTGTTGGTTTCTTCATCCTTCTTGACATCAATCTCCTTGTTCACTTCAAAGGACTCAAGAGTGTACCCCATCTGGTTGCCATAGGATTCAGTCATGCACTTGCTCAGAATGGGGGCATGCTTCTCAGAAGAATGGGATCCAGCAGGGGCATTGGAAGTTCCATCAATGGTGACCATGGTTCCCATCTTGACAACATCTTGCCCATCATGGTGAGTCTTGGTGACAGCGCCATCCAGTGTTTGGTTGTTGCCGCGCAAAGAGGAGGTACGGAGGCTTCCGTCGGCTGCACCGACGTTCGCGAGGACCGCAAAGGAAGAGACGAAGCAAAGGGTAGCAAGCTTCATGATCGAGTTCAAAGAGACGAGTGGAAAGGCTACCGGTAGCTAGTTGGTTGTTTTGTTGGAAGGTTGTTTTGATTGTTCGAGTTTTCGAATTGTGAGCATACAACGAAAGGGAGCCAAATCTGCCCAATTGGTTGCCGACATGCCACTGGAACCTCGACCGTGGCTTTTGTAGGGCATTCTACAGGAAATCTCGTCCTGTCAGGTAGAAACTGTACTGGTGACACGTGGTCAAATCAGGAACAAAAGATTTGGGCGTAGAAGGTGTAGGGAGATGAACGAGGCGCGGCGAAAGCAAAAACAAGAACAAAAGATCTGGACCGTAGGACATGTAGGGAGGTGAAGGTGAAGCACATGTTTCGTCTAGCTAGCAGTCAGGCTTCGTCGCGATCATCTCGTGGTCAAAAACAGGAACAATAGATATGGACGCAAAAAGTGCCTCGGTGGGGACTGCACGAGTGGTGTTGCGTGGCGGCTGTCTTCAAAGGAGCTCGAGGAAAGGATTTTTTTTGTTCCCCGGAATTTGGCGTTTAAACAATGTAACCATGGTCGCCCTCGAGCTACAAGAAGAGCTATCGTTGAAAACGGAACACGGACAAAAAAAAAATGGGGAGAACCGAAAGCTAGAAACTAGGATGTCGTCGAAGATAGTAAGGGAAAGAAGAAATAAACAGATGGAGAGTGTCAAGGACTACGATCAAGAAAGTCATCCCTGTATGACCAGCCCACCAGTGGTTCCTTGCTTCCTCCCTGCATTTTAGATGTCTCGCGGCGCATGCCCTTGAGCAAGGCAGAATGTCATCGATGTCTTTTTTTCTTTTCCAGGTGGCTTGGCGGCACGTGCTACTAGTATCTAGTTTGGAGTTCGTCGAAGTTTGTCAAGCTGCCGTGCCGGACCGGCAGAACCAAAAGCACCGTAAAACACTACCAGTGCTATACGAGTAGTACTTCCTACCGCGCTCTCTGACTGCCGCTAGCTAGAGATACCGCTGGGTTTTGCCAGACTTATACTGTGTGCCGGTATAGGCATTGGGTTTTCTAGCTAGTACGGCTGTTCTTGGCAGTTTGTCCTGGCAATCGCTCTGGCTACTTAGTACATTTATATCAAAAGGTTTCGATGTTGTTTGATTGTCTTAAATATTGCACCGTTAGACTAGTTCCACTGCCGAGGATTCACACGCACAGTCATCTTCCCCTCTTTCATGCCGTATCCAACGATAGCGCGACAAGCCATTCTCCATCGTGGTTTGTTCTCCAGCATTTGCTTTTCAGTTAGCCCTGGTTCATTGAGCAGATCCATGCCTTCCATCACACTGACACTACAAGTAGCACATGTTCCCTCGGCACCACAGTCACCGGAACCGCCACTGTCAAATCGTTTCGATAGTGGATCGTTGAGTTTGATTCCTTTCACCAGCATGGCTCGCCTCAAGTTTTCCCCAGCGAATAGTTCGATTGTCGTGTCTTCTTCTCCTTGATCGGGAGGATATTGAAAGTTGACCGTGACCTTGGGTTTGCGTCGTAGTCGCTTGATGGTTAGGATCAAATATTCATTGGGTGTTTCAATGGCTGGCAAACTCCCAATGGCTTCGACGGTAGCATCCCACCCTAGGCATTCAGTGGCGACACTGGCAATTTCGTCGGGTTGTCCTGTTCGATGGACGGCAATTTTGGAGATGCAATCTCCCGGTAAGAGGCCTCGTCCTTCACTGGCACCTCCTGGAACCAGCCCTTCCACAATGGTGATACCCAATCCATCTTCTCTCCCGCCGGCAATTTCCAACAATTCGATTCCCAAGCCTTGTCCTTGACGGCGTTTAATACCAATGATTCGTTCCGTGTCCACAAATACATCTCGACTACTCTTTGCACCGAGGTAGATCCCTTCGGCTACCATGGCTGATTCGGTGACTAGATTGGCGGTCCATTCTTGAATAGCTTGTTCCAGCGGCAGATTGTAAATGTTCATGTCCACCCTGTCTTCTTCAGATTCAGTATTGCCTTGTCCATTATTGATCTTCTGATCATCCCTGGTAGCAGTGGACTGGAGCTGATGGAATCTTGCCTGTTGACTCTTGTAGACACTGGACAAGCTGACTGGGTTCGTAGCAGTGAACCCTTCCACTTCTTCTGAAATGGAGGCGGCTAGAGCTCCCACCAATAATAGTGTCATGGAAGGAAACTTCATGGTGAATCTTCGATCGAATCAAATCACACTAATAACTCAAGATTGGCTTGCTAGATACCAGGATTGTGGCAAATTTCTTGTTCCCGCTCGTTTGCGCAGTGGCCAGTAGCATTGTGTCAGCCGACCACATCATCCCTTGCTTGCTTGTAATGATGGCCTCGTCGCACCTCTAGGAATGAGTCAATGGCATGGTGAGAACAAAAGAACAAACATTTCCCAACAACTGCCTCCAACACGTCATACATTCTTGACGCACAATGTACCCTCCAAGTCACTTCACTTCTTTCGCGCGAAGCCCGTTATCGCGCCCCCCCCGCGAACCCCGTTACGGAAATGCCGAGAGACCAGTTTGAAATGGCCGAAAATACGCCAATGAACGGCTAGTCCAACGATCATACCGTAGAAAAGTCTAATCGTCGTTGCAGGGTTGTGGCCGAATATCACGGCGAGTTCCTGAAAGCTAGCTCTAGTGCTTGATCATCTCAGGCTACCGTACCACAGAGAGGGCCTTGTTTTTGTCGAACAGATCGACCATGGGGTTTCGGTTTCTGAGGAAACTATCGTCCACAGCGACCGGCCACAACAATACTACTAGTACTACCAGCCACCATCGCAATGAGAGTTTTTCGAGTGAAGAGGAGAATCGATCTCCTCAGCAGCGTCGAGGTCGAAGCCTCAGTGTCAGGCGCAGGAGTAGTATTAGTAGTAGCACCAAGCAAAAGTCTCATCATCATCAAAAGAGTCGATGGTCCGTCTTTCCTGTAACCCCTGCCAACCATGTCATTCACACATCCCGAGCGACGCCCACAACCGCTCCCGAGACCATTCGGGCCACAAAGGAGTCCCATCATCATGATCGTCAAGACGACAATGATGGCGGTGGCGGAGTGGAAATGGTATACCGCGATTCCGTTCTCGCAGAGCAAGAGAGGATTCGTCAACAACTCTTCTACGAGGAAGAAGGAGTCGAAGTCACGGCTGAATTCAAACGACGAAGTTCCTCGCGGCCCCATTCCATCCGGACGTCACCTGTAGCGACACCAAGAAGATCGCCGTCACTACCACAATCCACCACTCGTAGTAGTAGTAGTACTCTGGCCAGAACTCCTACATCCAGCAGCAGCAAAAAGAAAAAGAGATCCTCCTCCTCGAAACGTTCCTCCAAGAAGGATTCACCCCCTCTTCCTGACACTCCAACTTTGGACGACGAAGAATCGGATCCAGTCAAATACTTTCCCGCCATTCAAGCGGCTCAGGCAAAAGCTAAAGCAGCTGCCGAAGCTAAAGCCAAAGAAGCTGCTGAAGCAAAAGCCATCAAACGACAACCTTCTGTGGCATCGGCTTCTCTGCAATCCTCCTCGGCTTCCACCAAAAAGATTGCCACAACCAACACTAAAAAGAAGAAAAAGAACAACAAACCCAAAACAAGGGCAGCACCAAGTCCCGTTCCCTTTGATGAAGATCCTACCATTATGGAACTGGAAAAGGCATTTTCCAAGGATGTCACAGAGTACACCATGGACGAGGAAGACGACGACGACGATGATGATGATGATGACTTGGTGGATGACGACGAAGTCGACTTGTTTGACGAAGAACTCAATCATGGCTGCGGGGTCACCACCACTCCCAATGGTACCACAGTAGTCAGTTGCAATCCGGCGGCCGCCGGATGCGGAAACCCTGCCTTGCCCACCACCAACGAAGATGTATCGCGACAATTGCTCGAAGCCTTTAACTGCGGCGATGATTTCACAGAGTTTAGTGGGTCGGCCGTTCACCATGCCAAACAACGATCCTGTCGACTGGTGGATGCCTTTTACGATAATACGTGTGGGAATTACAGAGACGCCGTCCACATGAAACGACCCTATTACGATGAACGGTTTGCGCAGCGGTTCATAAAGGTAAGAGAAGAAAGCGGCGTCTTTTTGTTCGTCTGCGTCTGTCTCTGGTACTTCGGTATGGACACTAACCACTGTAATGTCGCTCCCTTCCAAGGATATCATGGAAGAAGGATTGAACGTGCTTTGGCATCTCCCCCCTTCCGACGAAGACTCCACATTGGACAGTGCCAACTGGTCAGGACGAAGTGTTGTCATGACCGTTAAAGCGGGGTCGAGTTACTCAACAAATAGCAATGACGTCATGCCCAAATTGTGTTGGACTACTCTGGGCGGGGGAAAGGATGAGAGCAAACTAGCTCGGTGTCTTGTTCCTTTGCTCAAGATTCAATCTGTGTCAACGTTTCGGGATGCTCCTCCCGTGGTGGGGTCTCTTGGTGATGAAATCAAAGAAGAGGAACTGACGGGAACGTCGTGCGGGGTCAATTTGAAACCTGTGACTGTGGACGAGGAAGATGTGTGTCTGTTTGCCATTACCACCGAGGAAGGTGATGTTCAAGTCTTTGAAGCGGCATCATCACGAGAACGTGACGTATTTGTCACTGGTCTCAAAAATGTGATTGCTCGATTGAGCTTTCATGTCATTGTCGGAGATGCCGGTGCTTCCTCGGAGCTCTATTATCAACACGACAAGCAGTCGCCCGAGGGACAGTTGCCCTCGATCCCCAGTAGTCCCGCCCAAAATATGAATCGAATTGCCCACGCACTGTTGGATTGACGATCGATTGATGCAACAGTATTTATTTGTTGACTTGGGCGTGGTAACACGTTGACTGAACTGTAACCAACCACCCTGTAACGCACGTAACAAGTTCCTCTATAAATGCAGCAAGTAATTCCGTGATTCCGTGTCAATGGTGTGAACGCAGTTTCGAGTTCTCTATCCCGAACCATGCCCGGAAAGCTCTGCCATCTCACACGGTACTAGTAGACTACAGTGTACATGGAGAAACACAAGCCATCCCAGTCCCCCCCAGCTTTGAGCCATCCAAGCACTTCCAATACTGTAGCTAATAGCCTGCA